TGTGTGTGTGTGTGTGTGTGTGTGTGTGTGTGTGTGTGTGTGTGTGTGTACAGCGGGGAGAGAACGGTCATAGAGACACAGCCTACGTCAGCATTTTCATCCGACTGAAGTTTAGCATTTGGTTAGGGCCCCCTCTGATGCATGGACAGTGGTAAAGGTCTGTAGGAGGGTGAGCAGCAAAATATGAACAAAAGCAAGAGCCGTGTTCTCTCAGTGGTTACTAACCAAACCTGGGGTATCAGCACTGAAGGAAGAAAGGGCTCATGGGCCAGGCTCATGAGCACAGCTGGGAGCCACATGGGAATGAAGCAGCCGGAGGGGCCACTTGGCACTATGCTGGGTGCTGCTATTTGCGTAAGTCTATATCAAGCACTCTTGATACAAGTGAATGAAGACTTCTGCAAGTGATGGGAAAAAACCAAAAGCATGTTCTAGAGAAAGGCTAGATCAAGACACAGCAGCTCCAGTCCAGTGGGAGGCCTCGGTGGGGAGAAGAGCAGACATCCTGGGCAGGAGACTGCGCAAGGAGTCCAGACCACCCAATGCTCAGTGGGTGGGACGAGGTGGAGGAAGAGAAAGGAAGAATAGTGGAAGGGGGAGAAAGAGAACGTGGACCTGGAAGGGCGAGGGCGACAATCCCACCAACTCAGCAGAACGGGGAAAACTCTGGCTAAGAAAAGGCTGCCAATACAAGGAAACTGGTGGTTGCCGTGTTAAGAGCGGTGTGGGGGAATGCACGTGTATCCAGTAACCTCAGGACATTGCGAATATCAGTACTCCAATTATGCCCCAGAATTGTTTACAGCCCATATGTGTTTGTGTTTGTGTCATGTCAGCCGAACATCGTATGATCCAATGAGGAAAATGTGTAAATTCCCACTTGATACTTTCTGATGGTGATGACAATGGAAATACCAAGTAACCAGGGTAAGAATTAAAACCCCGGGGAGCTTGTTAAGCAGTCAATGTCCTCAAGTTAGGTGCACAATACGCTAGCTGGCTAGCAAGTCAGACAGTGGTGGAGGCCTTTCAGGGGTTGACTCAGCTTGGGATTCTGACCGTAGTTTCTGCCAAAGGTGGAGCAGGTTGAAACTGGATGTGAGACAGAGGTTTCCATAAAAGTCAAATGGGGAGCAATAGCAAAGGCTTCCATTTTGAAGCCGAAATAACTCCAAATCCTTCTCTTTCATTGAGGAGAGGACATGAACACCATGTCATTATTTTAGTTTACTGAGTTGCTGTTCCAAATGTTCTTGGGAGCATTAGTGCTAAAAGGGAACAGGGAATGGGAGCTCTGCCATTTCCAATCACATAAAGGACAGAAATCCTTTTAATTATGACCATGCCAATCTACATCTTGCTAAAACAGCTAATTACATGTCAGGAGGACACTCAGTCATTCAGAACAATTGTCATTATATTTTTATATATTCATTCTGTGCCAC